GGGGGGACATGACACGGAGGGGAGGGGGCAGAATTAACTTCAGCTCTGCAAATAGCCGTTCCTAAGCAAGTGAGCAAACTTAGGGCGTCAAATGAGAGATCTTACTTTCTCTTACGTGCAAAACAAATTTTTGCTAGAATTAACAGGAAGCTATCGCTTTCCATCAGTCGAGCTCCAGATTTCACCAGATACGTAAGTCAACCGACAAACAGGCAAAAACTTACGCATCTTCACAATGGCAGGAGGTTCACCAGCGATGCTGTTAGTAATATCTGCCCTTACGGAATATCATCGACGGGCAAAGATGCTGCCATTCGTCACTAAAATGTAATCTCTCGAATCCCCAAGTTTTGGAAGAAAAGATTCAGTATGTGATCAGAGCAGTCTGATCACTGAAAACACAAAATTCATAAACTGAACAGTTCTACCGTGCTACGAAGCATTCGTGTGAATTTCTTTCCCCTCTGCATATCAGATAATTATTGAAAGACATTTGCTACAGCTTTTACTTTCTGGCTGGCTTCTTCCTGACTTCACCGAACGAGACGCAACCGCCGCAACTGATCTCCCCTTCTCCCTCAGAGACGTGCCTTCTCTCGCCCTAAAGAAGACAGATACGAGGCGGAGAAGGGCTAGTCTTGCAGAGCTCACGCCGTTCTGCCAAGCCCTGGGCTGGGCAGGCGCTCCTTCCAGGACGTCGGCAAGTCCAGACTTGCCCAAAAAGCCAACGATTCACTTGGATACTCTTACAGACCGGTGGACAGCACAAACAACTCATCCTTGCAGGCTGTCTGCAAACGAAGGCTGGTATTAAACCCCGCTCCGTAAAGGGCAGGGAAACCTCGCAGCCTTTCCCAAGCGACCTGCCCAAGTAAAGGAGAGGCTTGGAAGTGGAGAACGCCTCACGCTTACACCTCCGCTTGTTCTCTGAGGCTGAAAATCGCCTGCGGACAAAAAGGGGAAGACCCAAGCATCACACCAAATATGATGCCTTGCGAGACAGGAAGGCGACGCAAGGGCTATGGCATGCCACCGGACCACCCGCTTGGTATTTACCGGCAACTCTTGGAAATCTTGTGTCTGCAGGTTCAAGCCCTAAGCTGCGTTGAGCTATTGAAGAGCTGAGCGGGTCTCCAGCGGGAGAGCACTCAGCATTCAAACCCTTGCTGTGTTTTAGCACTGGGGAGCTGCGGCTCTCTCCGGGCGGCCGGAGCTCTCCGAACGCGGTGCGCAGCCCCATCCCGCTGACCCTGTGCGTCCAGGGATCACAAAGTTCACCGCAAGCACCTCTTCGGTCCTTACCGAGCACTGTAATCGTGGTGTAAATTTCCTGGGGGGGATCAGTGTAGAGCTGGCAGAAGTACCTTCCTTCATCAGAAATGGAGACGTTTGTCAAGGAGACTCGGAGCTCGCTGTTGGAGAAGTTCACCAGCTGGAACCTGCTGTCCTTCAGGGCTGCGGAGCAAGCACACCCTTAGTGACTGCAATGAGAGACGCAGCGTCCCCTCTCACCACACAACAAAGTCCGAGGTCTATAAAAACGGCAGCAGCAGCAGCATCTAGACAAGCACCCCGCGGGTTCCTGACTGCAGCTTCCATCCTGCTTCTTACCTTTACGTCTGGGCCTATAAAATATTTCTGTTCTCAGATCATTACAAAGAATCAGCATGAGCAAATCACCAGGCACGGTATCGAATCCGTGGACTCCGTTTTATTACCGGATGGCTTAGGGACACGTAGGTAAATCGCTCACTGAGAAAATCCGCTTCTACACGCACCCATTTCTGACCGTAGGCAGTCAGTGGGCTAGGGACAGTGTGAAAGATAAAAGAATTGGGGAAAGTGTAGTGTAAAATTTGTTTCCTGACCAGTATCGGCTGTGCAAATGCTTTCAGGAATTTGGAAACCGAGCATTTTAAATCCTACCAGCCGAACACAAGGGCCTCGAAGGGCGGCGCAAGCGGAGCGAGCCAGCCCCCGCCCGCGTACATCGTCAGGTCATACGACGCCTCGGAAGAGAACGTGGTTTGCCGTGCGTCTCCACAACGCTGGGCACAATGTGCCACCGTCCCCCGTCCCCGCAGTGACACCAATGCAGACAACAAAGCGTTTCATTGCAGCTACCGTGCTCCGTGGCATTGTCACAACAGGAAACAAAGCCAGGCTCGTTAGCTGGACACGGCAGGGACGGGAGATTCTGTTTTTGTTATAAAGAAGCACAGACAGTCTTGAAATTTTCAGTCTTCGAACCAAGCAGATTACCTCTGAGAACACTGCACTGCCTCGGCGCTGCCCTATTCAATTTGTTTGTGTCAGCTAAATATTTGGCACTCAATTGCAATTCACCCTGAATTACTACAATCAATTCCTATTGCAAAGTAAGACGGTCTGACTTTTAAAGGGGACCATCGAGGTTTCCATTAAGGAGGAAGATTATAATTGCCTGTCTCATCTACCCTCTAAAGAATTGACTAAACTTTAAGTGCCTAGCATTACGTTAAAAGAAGAGATCTTTCCCCGGGTGCAAGCGAGGCGCAGGAAAAGTTGTTGTCAAACAAGGAAAGGTGAAACTTACGTCTGAAATCTCTGAAATAAATCGTTTGTCTGTTGGGATTCAGGAGCTGAATCACCGAGTCGTCGCTGTTCTTGACTCGGCAGCTGATGGTGGCGACGTCTCCCTCCACCACCGTCACATCTTCGGTAACCAAATTCTGACCATCACCTTCGGAAGAGAGCAAAGATGGGAAACAGCAAAGTCAGAAATGACGTCGGCAAGTTTCATTCGGAAACGAAAAGCTCCACCGCCGCTGCATGCTCAGCGCTCTTGCACAACGTGCCCAGCGGCACAACCCACGGGCCACTCTGCCAAAACGACCTTGGGTTTTTCACTGACCGGCCTAACCGAGGAAGAACTTGTATTTTCTGCAGGGGGAACCCTGGGCAGGCAACGGAGGAACATCAGCCGGCGAGCCATTGACCCCGGGTCCTCCAGCCAGCTGGGGTTATACGGAAACGGGACCCCCGTTACGCCCCAGTAACTAAGCAAACATACCTCGCACAGCCGCATTTGGCTTTTCCTGGGACTGATATTAATTTCACTGAACAGGCACAATCACCCGCACGACAAACACTCAGAACAGCAAAGCCTGGGAATACAAATACGGATCTTCCCCCCGCCCCCCAACTGTACCGGCCACCGCTAAATTAAAGAGGAGTAATTGGGAGGGAGCTCTACGATGGGAATACAGGAAAAAGGACTACTCTATGGCTACCACTGTATGGCCTTGCCACGGAGCACGCTTTTTATTGCAAAGAAGCCATTTCACCCCGGCACATTCTCTCTGCCGTATTTTAAAGCGTGGCCAAAGGCAGACGACGAGGGAAAGGTCGCACCAGCCGCCGCACGCCCCTCCATACTCGTACCGGCCTCGGGGGAGCAAGTTCCACGCCACAGGCATGGAAACGGCAGGAATTCGCTTCCTCTCTCAACAGATGAAATTTGTGAAATTACCTTGAAAGAACAACGCGCTGGAAGAAGCACTTATCCTTTGACTTGCGGGGACGGACTTTAGGGAACCAGGTTCCACTCCCTCTGTGTAATCAGTAGGCGCTATTAATGTCCAGAGGCAGGAAAAAAAGGATTCGATGCAATTATGCGGTGGGAGCCTTGTAATCATTTACAGGTCATCACCTCGAAAACTCTCCTCCTAATGAATCGACTCGTTACATCACATGCATGCCGAGAAATCTGCTTCACGTGTTAACGAACGCAGAGGAAGGGAGTCTGAAAGAAGCGCTTTGCGCGTCGGTTTTTCTATAGCTACCGGGAATCTCGTCAAGACTGGAAAGCGAGCGGGAGGAGCGGGGAGCCAAGGCAGGAGCGGGGGACACCACCCGAGGGACTCCAGCCAGGGCGGAAGGCTAATCGGAGTCCCTTTCGGCCACGGCTTCGGTCTGCTTTCAAACCACGCAGGCGTTACGGAGGAGGAGGCAAAGCAACGCGGGAGAAATTTTGCAACCTTGAGCGCCGATGTGCCCAGCGGCGTGAGGGTACGCGGGCACCTGGCCACGGGCTGGGTGGCCAGGAGAAGCCCTCTGCTGATTAACAGAGAGCAGCGGGGAGACAGTCCCGCTCACAAGTTAGCCACGAAAAACGCCAAAACTGCAAGACTTCGGTAAGGTTTGCAAACACTAGGTCTGGGGATGTTAGTCATACTCTAGTTTTTCTCTTGTCTTGCATTATCTCCGTCTTTCTTTCTTTTTGACTTACTTTTATTATTGGACGTGCCTTGGAAATAAATCTTTGACAACGGGTTTGCATGGCTCGGAAAGAAAGAGACTGAGAAATCATCAGACACCTTTCCACGCCTGACGGCACCGAGGTGAAGTCTCGGCACATTTTCCTGCCCTCTTGGTATAAATTTCCTTTCTCCGGATTGATGAACCTTGAACAGCGTCACGAGAAGTTGTTATCAAACAGAGTAACACCCGTACCAGACAAGAGTCCCCCAGGCCATCGCAAGAGGTGCAAGAGCCCCTCACGGACGTTTCCCTGGCTGCTGCTCCACTTTCTGCAAGTTGGTCATGCTCAAATCCCCCAGGACCGAGGACGAGCATCCAGCCACCCCACCACGCTGTCAGTACCCTTAATATAGCGTTCTTGAACACTCCTAACCGCTGTAATGCGCAGGTTTGTCAAGTAACGTAACCTACCTGATCAAAGGCGGGGGATACAACCGCGTTACTTATCAACATAAGCTTACTGTCCGTGCGGTGTAAGACTTCGCACCCAATCCAGAGGGTTTAAAGCCGATTAAAGCCAGTTGCGGGCAGGACAACCCATTAGAAGACTGCAATATATCGTCATACCCGTTACTTGGTGCCGGCCCCAGTGAACGAAGCGTTGCCTCGTGTCCGCCGCAGCACCGGGACTGCAGGCACGCCTTTCCCCTTCCGCCCTCCGGGACAGGTCCCCAGCCGTACCGACGGCGCAGACCCCGGAGGCTACCAACGCAGGAGCCACGTCAGCCGCCTAGCGCGGCGCCTCGCCGCGCTGAAGAACAACCACGGAGGTGTCACAGCAGCGCAGGACCGATCCCTGACAGGCACAGTCAGGCTCCAGCGTAAACGACGTTCGAATAGCTCAAAGGCAGCGCAAGCAAAAATATTAAACGTTACTAACTGCTTCTAGGGAATAATTTTATCAAACCCATTGAAAACAAGGTTCTTGCACAAGGATCAGCTTGATATGTTCTCATACACGCAATATTCACTACAAATCATTAACAAAGCTATTAAGATTCGATTTCCATCTAAGCAATTATTGCTAGCATATTTTTTTACATTTACTTTAAAAGACTCAATCCTATTTTCAATTCATTAAACTGTTCCTTGCATTTACTGAATTTTACATCAGCTTAGAAACCTATTTGAATTAATAAGAATTACAGTAGAAGTAATTTAGAAATAAATTATTTGAAGTTCAAGCCACTGAAGCTTTTCAGGCCGGGATGCTGCTACATTAAGCCCGCTGACTGATGGCTTTAGAAGTCCAGCATCTCGGTCCAGGCTGGCATCAGGCTCCCTCTCAAGAAGGCACTTATTCTCCCCAAGGCCCCGGGGTTAACGACAGGCAGGGTGCACGTAAGGACGCGCTGAACCCACGGTCTGAAGCAGCCAGCATCTCCAGCCCCGCGGACTTTGCGTATTTATTCTGAATCAAAGGGCGCCTAATCCGGCCGCTGACTGCAGAGCTCCTCTTGCTCTGCTGACCTGAATTTGTTTGCTTAACTGGAAGCACCAGACCGTGCAAGTTAACACTTTGGGTATCTGTATTCGTACCTGCTCCCCCTTACCAAGACGAGAAAGTTATTTCCGTGAACAGCATCAATTACAAACTCTGAATTAAATAAAAACGCAACGTGAAGCGAGAACTCTTTAGACCCATCTTCACGTCAACATTTCAGGAAGTTTCTCGGTAAATATTTACTGGCAGTATATGAGTATTTTGCGGAGCGTTAAAGCAGACACGTTTACAGCATTACAACGTGTTGTAACAGAAAAGGAAAGATGGGGGCGGGGGGGGGGGGGAAGTTTACGGACCCAGCATAGAATCACAGAAGTTGACAAAAGCAAAGGAAAGCCGCTACTGTAAACCAGCTTTAAATCACCTGCAAATGCGCAATACCCGCACAGTCACGCGTGTGTGGGGGGGGGGGGGGGGGAGCAGGGCAGAATTATAGGGTATAGATTTTCATCTATGACATGTGGATGGACTATAAAAGCCCCCACGCACTGTCCTTGTACGAGACAACAGTTTCTTGTTTGGTAAGTCCAATGCAAAGTACAAATCCTCTCCCCGGTGTTTGATGCGCCTAACGGACAGACTCCAAGACCCAACTTGGGAGTTTTGATCATCTCGATCTCGAGTATAAGGCATCGCTACTGAGGGAGGCGAAAAGCAAGGTGAAAGAAGCCAGCCTCCGAGGCGGGCTTCGGGGCGAAGTGCCGTATAGATGCGACATATGTGTACAATATTAACGAGCAAGTGTAACAGCTGAAACAGATATCTGCAATGCAAGGGGAAGGAAAAAAAAATGCTGTGCATGTTTCCTTTGTTACCCAAAGCAACTCTCCGGCCTCGTTTACTGAATCTCTCTGTGGACGTAAAAAATGACATCGTATTTTACACTTCCCGGAAGGGGGAGCAGAGACGGAGGGAGGCAACGCTTGAGGAACGGCTTTGGCTGGAACCTATACACAATTAATTTCTGCACTTGTCCTTCTGCCTTAGACCACCGCAGTCTTGGCTTTTAGGACTGCGAAGACAGACACGGACGAGCAAACTGTGCTTCAAACAAGTTCCTCTTAGCTGGACGCAGCCCAGGGACCTTGGCTCATATGCAGCGGTCACATCTAAAAATCAATTCTTTCTCCATTCGCAGCACACCAGGGTAGAGTGAAACGTCAGGGAGAAAAGAGGGAAAGATTAAAGATACGTGCTTGTGAGCACGCTTCTTCAATTCCCAACAGAACGCGAGCCACAGGTACTCTGTTGTGAGCAGCGGCGCTGCTGATTCAGTGTACAGGATACTGCCACAAAGGCTTGCCAAGAAAGCGTAATTTGCATGGCACCTGAGCTATGTAAGCCCATAAACGTAAACAAAATTCCTCTTAATAAATTGAGTCAAATGGAACAACCCACACAGATACACAGACTATTTGTTCGTGCGCTGGAGGAAAAAAATGACACCGTGATCAATCCACAGAATTAACGTAATTTGAATGTCAAAACTCATCTATCAGTTTCAGCTATCTAGAAGGAATGCGGCGGTTAAATAACCAGCCAAAGTTGAGATAAACATTAAGCAGGTTTTACAAACACCTAGCGATCCACCTACTCCAAAAGCTTCGTCTCCTTGTTGTTACTTCTCTTCGCTGAGCAGTTCCTACGCTCTCTCCATCCATCACGGAGATAGCATCCCTCCAAAATAAACGTCACGAACCGTCTTCTCGGGAAGACTGCGGGAAGCAAAGAGACCTTTTGGCGTGCTCGAATACAGGAACCAGACAGAGCCGGCAAAAGGAGGAAATCAAACCGCCATGTAATTTCTCTGCAGACTTGCTTCAAGGAGGGAGGAGAGAGTCGACAACGCTGTGCTGGAAGAAGTTGCAGGAGCTCAGTGCATCTGGTCTTGAAGTCTTGAGGGACCGTTTTAAAAA